GCGGACTCACTGCGAAATCGCGGACCCGGGGAGGAGCTCTCCCCCTTGGTGAAAACCACCTTTCCGCGCCACACCAAGCAACAAACAGATCCTTCCGTTTCCTATTGTGACCTCGTAGGGAGAAAGCGGGGGTGGAAAGGGGACCCGAACGGGGTGGGGGGAACCCCAGGAAAAGAAGGGAAAGAAGGCAGGGGGAGGGAAAGACGCCTGCAGGTCCCGGCACCAAGGAGGAGCTGGGGCTGCAAGCCTCTCTGACCCACCCTCCAGGCGTCCAGGAACAGGCTCTTAGCTGCGGAAACGGACCCTGCCGCTTCTATATTAAGACTTCAAACCCTAATTTGTTGGAAGCAGGGTTCATTTTCCCGGGGCATCCTGGAAATCTTGCACAGAAACGAAATGACCGGTTACAAAAGTCTGCAGAAGAATCCGGGAGGGGTATGTTGATTGAATGCCTGTTGCCCCAAATCCCCTTGGTACTCAAACCCCGTCAGACTGGCTGATGTTTATTATTTGTGAGACTTCATTTTGTTTAAAGGTTTTATTGGAAGCCGGTAGTGATTTCTTTAATTTAAGACTCTAAAAATAATTAAATCTTTCTTTTCTAGTTAGTCCCTAGCGGATTATAAATAAAAATAAAAAGAACAGCGACCTCAAAATGTATTGATCTGAATGCTTCTGCAAGATGGGTATTAGCATTATTTATCCAAATAAGGAAACACAGTTGCTATTGCCATCAACTGGTAAGTAAGAGTAGGTTTCAAACCCAGGTTTTTATCATTACTATGTCCATATTTTTCCTTCTACACATTTAAAAAAAATAAAATTTTAAGTGGGAAAAATCCCTAAAAGGTGGACCAATGTTCACAGCCCTCTCAATATTATGAAAATGTCAGGGGCTCTCCTCCGCCTGGGATAAGCTGATCAATACATTGAGTCAGAGGAAGAGTAGACGATAATACGTAGGCCACAAAGCAATACTAATTAAGAGTTAAGACGATGGATGGGGAAATTTCTTCAAACTTAACTATGTTAATATTAAACATAGTTTCAGACAAAAGAAAACTAGTTTGTAGTCAGAAGCCATTTAAGAAACCATTTGTTGACTCTTCAATACGGACAGGGAAATAGAGGCCCGCAGAAGTTTAGTGATCATACATGACTGCATGGAAATGTCTCCGTTTTGGGGTTTTGAGGTTTAGAATTGTCTCAAGCCCTCTTAAAAATTATTTGCAGTAATAAATTTTACAAAATACTTTTGACTTTCCTCATTTTTTCCTTGAGTATTCTAATCAGGTCAGCTTGTCTCTTTTAAATACTATTCCACATTAATTCATTATACAAAGAATCTGAAAAGCAATAGTTTTATTTTTATTTGAATCTACAGTCATATAATTTGCACCTACACTCTTACCAGCCTTTACCCAGCCCACTTATATTTCGTAGCAACTTCTGATGGGTTTTTTTGCTTTTGTTTTCTAATTGTAGGACATACAAACTCACCAAATATTCAGTAAAATGGTGCTTTCAAATTACTTCCTCTTCCATTTCAATATAGCATCAGGTCCAAACACCCCTTTTTATAGAGCAGTCACCTCTATTATATTTTCCCTGGTGATGGCTGAGTGTATTTCCTAAAAGTTCTAGGGTTTAATTTATAAGCTGTCACAATGCATAAACATAGTTATTGAAAATCTCAGCTTCTGCAGCATTACCTTGCTTATGTTGAGTTTAAGTTTCATCTATCATTGTATTATCCCAAAATCCTGACAGAACAATCTGGAATTCTTTCAGTTTCCCTCTAACTTTGACTAACAAATAATCCTATCTTCATAAAAATGCTAAAATCTTGTGTATACTTTTCCATAATTTTCTCCAAAGAAAAGCTAAAGATACAGCTTCACAAAATATTCATAAAATACCTAAACACTCCTCTAAATTTGTTATTATTTTGCCCTTGGTTTCCTAGAGTTTTAAAATCCATATCAAGGTGGTGTTTCCTTCGCCCCCACCCCTCACCTGCTCCCCCTACCCACATGCCCACTTTTTGGCACTTATTCTGGAGATAAATGGAGAAGTGTTGGCATCTAAATCAAACCACATCTTTAGTTTTTATCCCTTTTGTTTGTTTCATTTAAAAAATAACTCTGCTGCTTTAACAAGTACCAAACCTTGTACAGACTCACATTGCCTATAACTGCATTCTCATTAAATTGTCAATGAGGGCACCTGAGAATTACAGCATTGTGTACAAAACTGCTCTGGGGGAGTACAGGAGAGCAACCCTGTCCTACTGCAGGAATTGGCTTTTTATAAGCTCTTCTTTCTTCTAGGTACTCATTTAGCTCGTCCAAGTGCATATGCTTAAACACAGAGAGAACCACACATCTTCATCTATAGGGCATAAGTATAGGAGGGTTTATTTTCCCATAAACCAGCAGACTCTGACACTCCAGATTTATTCAAGTAGCACAAGTAAAATACAGCTTTCATTAGGAACTCACTAGTCAGTTAAGCAGACTAATGTCATGCTGACTGGGGTTCCAGTAATTTCCAATGACAATGCAACTGACTTCCTACAGGACTATTTTTTCACTTCTCAAAAATTTTTAGATGCTCACTTTTACATCCCATTGCCTCACTCAACTAAACTAATTGTCTGGGTGTCCCTTCCAAATATACCCTGTGGCTGCCAGTCGGTCTATAGAGCAGTAGCATAGAAACAGAACACACATCTTAGCCACCAGGATTGAAATCTGTCAACAGATATATTGGGGAGGTCCAGTTCAGATAAAAGCAGTTAGTCTAGGAAACAGGAATGTCTCCTTCTCTGTCACAATTCCCCTCACCATAGCTAATATCCTTTCTAGGCTCTTAAAGCATATTTTTCAAATCTTTATTATAGCATTTAGTGTTGCATTATGCTTCACATTTACATGACTGTCTTCTCCATTAGACTGTGAACTCCCTAAGGCAAAGATGTTTTCTTATTCCTGCCACATACTAGGTGTTTAATAAACATGTGGGGGGGGGGTGTAGAATAATGCCTATAACCAAGAGTCATTCATGATTTAAAATAATTGCTCAGCTTAAAGTGAGTTTTGTTTTAATTTAGATACATGTGCCCTTTGACACGCTATTTTCATTTGCATTATCCCTAACTATAAAAATGTACTTTTTTCCTTTGGTTTCTCCCATTTAGAAATTTTTCATTCTTTTTACAAAATAAGTGTAACCTTTAAAAATTTATTTTAAAAAGAAACAAAACCAGAGAACAGATAGATCCAAGAACACGTGTTTATTTTTTTAATTAGTTTTTTGGTTTTTTTAACCTCCATTTTGGAATATAAGTGGTACACGCACACCCCCTAGTGGGGAATCTATTCCTCAATACAAATTCCACAAAGAGAACTTCCATGGAAAGCTTAATAAATGAGTACCTTGAGCAATTAAAAATTTTCTCAGCATTCACTATGTCTACTACAGCTATTTGGAGCATGAACTATGTGTGAGGCATGGTTAATTACCATGGATATTATTTATATAGTTTTTAAGTTTAGAGCTCAATGTTGTTTCTGGTTAATAGTACAATAAGTTGGTTAAAATTCTGTCTTGGCAAAATCTTGTCACATTGTGTTTATGTTGCATAAGTCTGATGTTAACATTGACCCCTGTAGGAGTCAGTGTTAGTCATGGTTACCAATTCTGACAAGTCGACTTTAAAATTCTCAAAATTCGTCTCCATACACAAAAATAAGTCCCTTCCTAATGCTGTGCCATTTTAAAATACCATTTCCAAAAGATTTAGTCAAGTCAAAATCCTCAACAATTCAAACAGCTTGTATAAATTTACTTGTTTATCAGCTGCAATAGACAATACCAGAGATAATTTAGAGTTTTTTGTATAATTTATCCTACAAATGCTAAACTGTATTCTCAAGGTACTGAGCAATAGCATTTATAATTATTATGTTTGCAAATGCTAGTTTCTGTTTAGCGCCTAGGGATTTTTTGTTTTTGTTTTTTTCCATTGCTTTTTTTTTTTTTTTTTTCCAGAGAGCATGGAAGAGAGGAAGCTGGCAAGAAAGAGGGAGAGAGAGAGAGAGAGGGAAGGAGGGGCAAACATCAATGTGAGAGAGACACATAGATTGGCTGCCTCCCACACACTCTAGGATCAGGGCCAGGGATTGAACCTGCAACCCAGGCACATCCCCTGACCGGGAATCGAACTCAAAACCCCATGGTGGGCAGACCGATGCTCTAACCACTTAGCCACACTGGCCACTTCTTTCTCTTGCCTTCAATATATATTCCTTGTAAATTTCCTTCAGTAAAAAGTTTTAGTTGCCTGAGCAATTTTTTTTTTCACTTAATATGCGACAATTTTAAGGAAGTATTACTGTGATGGTTAATTTTACCTGTCAACTTGGCTGGATCATGGAGTGCCCAGAGATACTTGATCAAACATTATTCTGAGTGTCTGTATAGGGTTTCTTCTGAATGAGATTAGCATTTGCATCAATAGACTGAGTAAAGCAGGTTAACCTCCCTAATATAGGTGAGTTTCATCCAATCAGTTGAAGGCCTGAGTAAAACAAAAGAGCTGACCCTTCATCGTAGAATTGCACACTACTACATGGAACAGATTCCTCTTAAAATTTCCTTCTGAGGCCAACAAAGAAACCATGTAAAAGAGTACTAATTAAGATGTGGTTCGCAGACCAGAGACTATCTGTGTACTGTTTGTGATAAGTACAGAAATTGAAAATGTTTGGAAATTTTTACACTACTTAGGCACTGTCTAGACATCCAAGCCCGCAATCAATGGACTCTTCTTACTCATTCAAGTATAAAGCAGTTCAGATGTTGTCAAATTAGACTTATGAGGCCAGAGCTGCCTACTGGCAGTACATACGGGACCACTTACTATTCCGTGAAGAACTGGGGTGGGGGGAAACTGGCCCTTCCTCACACACAGTTTCAGAAACACTGATGTACAGTTCCACGATTTTTTGTCATTGGAGAATTGATTTATCAATTTTCAAGAGCTCATTTATACAAATTCTAAAAATGTGGAAACATCAAGTATGTGGGATATATAACCATGTTGACCCTAGAAAGAAATGCCTGTCAAAAAGGACTGCTTATGGTTAAACCGGGCCCAAATTCATAATTAGAGTCTAGCAGCTGTTTTTACAGAGGCTTCTCACAAACTGCATTTCAGGGAAAAGCCACAGACTGGGCTGTCAAGCCCCTGCACTGTGTTCCTGCCATTTGAGTCAAACCTTACGAGGGAGTTCCTGGTGTCATTTTTCAATGAAAGGGCTGAGAATTGCCCTGTTCAGCGGAGCTATGCTGCTACAGCCTCATTTGCATCTTTACTGACCAATCAGAACTGCTCCATAACAACCAATCAGAATGTGATTCTGACCAATCCGACCCATGCTATTTGGACCAATCAAATTGTGTAAATTTGGATTCCTAATTTGTAAAAAAAAAAAAAAAAAAAAAA